TTTTCTTCCAATTATTGATCCAACCTGTTGCAGTTTCAAGTGCTGCTCCAGATTTTGCAGTCCTTAATCCAATGACCCTGTGAGGGTAGATAGTGCTGCAGCAGGACCCAGACAGGGCGGTGAGGCTTGCATATGTAGCCGCCTCTGGCTGCCCCCCTGCTGTTTGTGCTAAGGCATGCCAGGGCATTAGCCATTTCATCAGGTTCTTTGTTGACCGCCTCTCTTTTGTGTTGCCCTTGAACGATGTTGCAAGCAAAGCCATGGTTTCAACCACTTTACATTTTGAGACAACTTATTCAGGGGGCTGTTTGCGAACTCAGGGGTTTGGGACAGGCCATCAGGGAGTCAGGATGTCAAGGAGCTCACCTCCTGTTAAGAATGACTGACTAGTTTATCACTGTGCATTATGGCATCTAGTTAATTAAAAAGAGACTTAAACAAATCATCTAAATATGAGCACTACTACAATGTAAAGACTGGTATTGTACCACTGAAAGTGTAATTGGTTCACTTGTGCATGAGCAGGTACCGTAGCCTCTACACTTTTCTTTGTATGTGACAATACCTCAGGCCGTTCTGAATTTAAATTGACATCAAATATTTTCATTTTCCAAAGGATAAAAGTGTTGACTCACCTCCAAAATACACTTGTTTGATTTCCCATGTGAACATAGTACACAGTGACACGCATGGCTTTCACCATTCAGGGACCCATTCACTCAGCCACTCACTGTGCTCCACATTTCAGAGTAATTTTCACTCCTGACACCACAGCTCTGCCTACCTGCCAGTTTCTGCCTTTTCTCCTGAATGGGTGATTTGTAAAGCCATGTTCACCTCAACACTCAGAAAATTTACTCAGGAGTGAGCTTGCCAGGTGTTTGAGCTGTCAGTTTGCTCTGTGCTTACGAACTTGCTCAGCTAGCCATACTCAGCCAGTTGACTGAGCCAGCTGAGTTACCACTGGAGTTATGGTGCCACATATATGATTGCTATTATTAATTTGTGACTTTCAGCAACAGAAAATTGGTATTTTACATTTTGCTCAAAGCTTGTTTCTGGTACTAATTGTTTTTCTGAAACAAACAAATTAAAAACACTTGCACATAGCGAAATTGCATGATTAAATGACTATTTCTTTTTTTATGTCACATGACTGGTTGAAAAAGGAATCTGTGATTTGAACTCACATCCATTCTTGTTGTCTCCTCGAGTTATATTTTGTAAATTTGGATACACATCTTCCAGCTTTTTCTTGTCCTGTTTGTGCTCACTCCTTCCTTTCACCATGCTTCATAAACAAGCTGCAGTTGTTTTACGGGCTGGAGGTCGCTGATTTGTCTGCCTCTCCCTGTAGGTCACTGAGGTTACCATGGCCCCGGAAGCATCAAGCTTTGAAAATGAGAAGCCCCGCTCGGCTTTCCCGCTGGCGACCGGGAGCACCCCTTGCCCGCACCCGCCCTGATGATTAATGCCACCCCCGTCCAGCCACAAACCTTTCTGCCTCAGATAATGCCAGGCAGCAAGCGCGGCTGACACATTTAATGTATAATTAAGTAGAAAAAGTCAGCACTGGCTATGCAAATTTTTTAAAATGATAAATGACGCTGTACAGCAGCAGGGATTGATTTGGTGTAAATGAAACTAATTAAGGAAATGTCAAACATAATTAATAAAACAGGTTTAAGCTGCAAAACATTGTCAATTGAATGAATGAGGAGGCATTGGCTCCCATTGTTCAGGCTTTATTTAGGTCTTGTGTTTAGCTTGTTCCTTGCTCCAGAATGCTCTCTCCCCTCCTCACTCCCTCCACCACCAATTCCCTGAGAGAGGGAAAATAAATTTGCTTGTCTCTCTGCTGACTGTAGAAATTAATTGCTGAAATCTTGTCCCATCCAAGTGTTACATTCACACGCAGGACATTAACATAACTAATTTGAAAGAGCTCAAATGACTGCATAATGGAGCTCCGTCACCATGCATGACAGTCGGTGGTCATACCAAATTAGCTTGGTTTTATAATTGAAAAATTTCCCCCCCCCTTTCTAATTTTTACACCATTTCCCTCTTCTTCATCTACTTTTTTCTCTTTTTCCTTGCTCCTCTCCTGGTTGTTTTGTTTTCTTGATGAGAACAAAGGCTCTATAATTTACACACACAAAAAAAGTGCTTGACCTATAATTAGAGAAGGGGAGTGAGAGGAGAGGGGGGGGTGTGCCAAGTGGTGGTGGTAGTCAGATCCTTAGTCCTGGTAATGATGCTGGAGACCTTGTGGCCCCCGGGGAGGCAGAAGACTAATGGGTTGGGCTATTTTTATGGGGGAGCAAAGCAATGGGCCACCAGCCGCTGGGATGCTGGTGCCTGGGTACGGTGCAGAGCAGCAGGGGCTAGCAGGGGGCTAGTGGGGGGCAAAGGAGGGTGAACACTCAACCTGCCAAACTGCCAGCTCTCAGCCCTGCCCATCAGTTCTGTATGTCAGCCTCATGCACTGCTGTTGGCCTTTGTGCCCCTGTGCCAGCCGCTGCCCTTGTCACAGAGAGAGAGGGAGAAAACCGGGTGGGTGGGTTGGAGGGTGGCAGAAACATCTGCCACTCTGAGGATAATAGAAGACTCAAAGATACAAAGTGAGAGCAGTCTCACTGTGAAGTTTGGTTTCTTGATACTCAAATATGCATTAATGACCACATGAATACTACAGCAAAGACAAGATTGACAAATACTTACACAGTTATCCCTGGCCTTTGAGCCACAGTGGATGAAACAATACACATGTATTAGGATCCAGCTCAGTGTTGATCACTGTAAACTAACAAGTTACTCAACTTTAGCCATCTAAAGTTTGCAGCAGTCAACTGGAGGTTTATATCCCACTCGTTTAGCACTTTTATCATTTAAACTTAAAAACTATAAATGCTGCTATGGCTGCAATGTTTGATCTGAACCTGGTGCTATTACGGATTTTGTTAATGTGCTTGTGTGCAGAGTGTTGCAGAAGACGAAGATCCACGGCTGCCAATATTTTTGTTTTGGATATACACACTCTAAACACCGCTATTTATCATACTCCCACATAACAATCCTCAAGAGTCAAAAGACCAAAAGAAAACAAAAACAAGAAAACAATAGTAACCAGAGCAAAAGAAAAAAAAAAACAAGAAAATAAAACTCGGGAACAGTCACAGTCTTTATTCCTATTGCATTTTCATTCTCATCTTTATTTCATTATTCCATTGAGGACTCTTATGCTTGTAAAGTAAACTTAAATCCTGGACTCCTGTATGGTTACTGTATTGTTATGCATGCTAGTAACAGCCTCAGAGCAGCCATAGCCCAAACGTCAGCTACAAAGCTAAGATGATTTTTACAGCAGTGCTCTGTGCGCTACTGCTGTATTTAAGGATTCTGTTTAAATGCACAGCCCTGTAGTAGATATCCTTTCAGTAAAGTATTTTTGTTTCTTCTTATTCCTGTGACCAGAGAAAAAGCACATAGACTGGTAATTAGCAGTAGTTCATAATGAATGTGGTCAGTCCAGTGAGCAGTATGTTGTGAGCTGAGTTCAAGGATGTCATTTCATGTAAATTATTACCATATGCATTTCTGCAGAAGCACTTAAATGCTTATAATATACTTACATATTTGCACTGTCTTGTTCTGTAGTAAAGAAACTCGATGCTGACTGCACTATATACTGTACATACAGTAGGTAAATGCATACTTTATCATAGTTTATAAAAATGTATTTGTTGATAAAAGTGCTAAACGAGTGGGATATAAACCTCCAGTTGACTGCTGCAAACTTTAGATGGCTAAAGTTGAGTATCCTGTTAGTTTACAGTGATCAAACAAAAGTTTAAATGCCCTACATGTAGACACATATACCAATTAAATAAATAGTAACATGCAATATTATTACCAGCAATACCTGTGTCTTAATTGCCCACTGTACAGTATATGATGTGATTTTGATAAAATCATGAACATTTACATTACAATAAGTGTTGCACTGGTGTTCATAAATCCCCCCAAAAGGTGCACTACTTCTCATAAAAATCAGTGACCTGTTTTGCACATTTTTCCTAAAGTTTCCAAGTAGTTTTTCACCTTTCATGTTATTTCATTTCACACATTCTGCTACAACTCTTTTATACAACCCAGCCCTTAAAATGCCAAGGGTCATAAGTCAAAAATATGCAGCACGGATTACAATTTATTACCCCACATTTGTTGATAATTTTTCTCTTTTGACAAGCTTAGGTTAATCATATAGCCTACTCTATAATGCATGAGGACTCCGTTGGCTTGATGAGTAAAGTCCATGGCTATTGGCTGTTACCCCTGTGGTGTTTGAGTTCCCATAAGACCAATAAGCCTTGTCTGTGTTCCAACATGACTGGAGCCACAGCAGGAACAGGTAGAGGACCAGGTATTTTTAGAAACCATACGCAAATGCATCAGTGCCATATTGGATTGTTAGTGCAAAGGGGTGACAGTTAAATACATGTACATGGAAGGAGAAATATGTAGGCTTCTCCCTCTCTTTTGAGACAAGTCTAATCAGTTAGCCTCCTCTCCTCATTTCATTTGAATATATTCATCTTGGACTTAGACTTAAGAAGTGTGTCTCCCCTCACATTTATATTATTCCTTCCCACTGAAGGCTCATTATTTTACAGCAGGGTGTGTGAGAGGTGGCCCCAGTCTCTGAACTCTCTGTCAAGGCTGTATTAATCAAACTTCACACAGCAGGGAAGGGTCCACCCACTGACATGGCACTGCTAACTCTGCTTTGGGGACATAAAGGAAAAAACAGAACCTAAGCTGTTAGTGTGAAACAAGAACAACTTTTGAAGATTACCACTATTAAATATTTTTACAGTAACCCCATGCCAAAGCTCGTCTCAAATACAGACCATGCTTTTATTATATTTTGTAGCATTGCCCATTCATTTCAATCAGTGTCTCTCACATTAATTATCCTCATCTTCTTTTCTCCACAGTGGACAACAGGATCTTTGCATGGGGAAATGGCACCAGTGGACAGTAAGTACATTTCAGAAGTATAAAAGATCGAAATGTGCAAAGTGAACAGTGCTGCTCAGTCATTTGGCTGCCTCACTTTGACAGTTTGTGAAACATGAGAGGACATAGTGATGCCAGCTGTCCATAAAAGTTCAGCTGTCCTTGGTTAGTTTAGTTTAACGCAGTAGTAATTCAAACGTCTTATTGTCTTCTGACACTATATTGTACAGCTGCGTATAAAACAGCTAAAAGGCACAGATAAACAGACATACACACAAACATAAGTTGTCTTCCTCCTGATGAGCTTCCTTGTTAAAACTTCTGCAGCCAGTAACCAGTCTGGTTGTAATGACATCTAAGGGGCCTGAGGGCTGCAGTGATTCAGCGACCCTCTGGTAGCAGCAGACAGCAGCATACCAGACCTCAGAGAAATACATAAAAGAAACAAAGGCATCACTTCTGAGTCTCTCATCATCTCCCATTGTCCCTTGTTCTCTGTCTCTGACTCTATTTCTCTGTCTGTCTCATTCTCTCTCTCTCCTCTCATGATGCTTTGACCCCTCTAAGCAGGTTGAGGCTCTCTAGCGGGGAGCTTATAGTTGGAGGAGCCTATAGTTGGAGCTCCACAACACCCACTTGAAGAGCAAAGGGTGAACATCTCCCTTACACAACTGGCACTCTGATATCTGAAAACTCCTCAGCTCTCCTGTGTCTCTCACTGGAGGCGAGAGAGGAGAATAGTACGAGAGAGCTGTGTAAATTTAAACTGGCAAACTTTCTGATGGAAATAGCAGTGACCCCAGAGTGGTCTTGTCTTGAGATGAAGCATTGTTGTAATCAATACAGGCTCTCGTGGGGATGGCGGGCGAGGACCTTTCGTTCCCCGTTTGTGGAAATAATGGAGAAGACTGTTTGTTATTTTTCCCAGACATGCCGCAAACTAGCAGATATGGCCGGGGCATTGCAGGTTATGACGCTGGCTCAGGGAAACAAATACAAAGAGGAGCATTTTATCAAGAAGCAAACAGCAGAGTTCTGTTTGAAGCTACTGGGAGCTCACAGGTCACAGGGGTGCTGGGGCTGCGTTTGACCAGCTCATCTTGAAACAGGGTCTTGGATGTTCTTTCTTCATTCGCACTAGGGACACAGACACAGCAACACAACTTTCAGTTAAGGCCTATATAAAGTCATTTGTACAGCTACAGATTGAGTTAGTTTCAGTTATTATTTCTTCCCATGGAACATAACACTGACCTCACTGATATATGCCTGCTACAAATACTGTAGATGTGACACTTGGTGGAAACATGCCAGAAAGACAGCACAACAGTTTGGCTGCTGTGGTGCAAGCCAAATTTGATATTTACTGAGGTCTCATGATACTTAAATGAGAATTACCTACTCCTGCCTCAATGTTAATAAGCTAATTTTGTGAATTTTTAGGTCGGTGAAAGTAAAATGATTGAACATTTGGTGTGGTGAACTGTGTACCATTGTTATGCATTACATCAAACAAACATCAGAATGTAACACATACTGAATTGTCCAGCTTCCTCTAAAGTCTTGGAATGTTCGCAACATGTGAAGAAACTGTCAAATTATCATTTCTATCTGCATTTTTTGTTTAAGACTGGGTGATGGAGAGCGGCAGGTAAAACCCCAGCCAGTTGAGGTTAAGCTGCCACAGGAACTGAACATTCAAGGAAGTGAAGCAGACGTGAGTGTCGTCAATGTCGTGGGTGCGGCCTGTGGAAGCAGACACTCCTTCATATGGACTGACACTGGACAGGCCTACAGTTTTGGGAACAACTTTTACGCCCAGCTGGGCTACAACTTTCAGAGGGCTAACTTCAAGGAACACCAGGTATTGGGATAAATCAACCAAATCAAAGCAAAATACACAATTAAAACGGGTACCTTCTGAATATGTGAAACACACTGAGTTTAGCTTAACACGTCTAAAAATCATCCTCAAAATGTGCACTCATCACATTAAAACCCATGTGAATTTGTAATGCCGCCATAAAACATCTACATAATATCTACAGTAGAATATCATCACTTTTAAATTCATTGTTATTAAAAGAGACAGAGGGGGCTGATACAGGCAGGCCTGTACAATCTGTCCTTACATGGCTTACTATACAGTAGCATGTCGCTGAACCATACAAATCCTAAATTAAGTGCTGTGGAATTGAAATTGGCTCTCTTGTGAAGTGTTCCACTTGCATTTGAGCTTAATTTTGCCTACTCATATCATTTGATTCAGTCCCTCAGTCCCTCTTTTGCTTGCTGCAGCCCGTCGCTCCCTGTTCCTTCTCATGCAAAATAAGCCCATTTACCGCAACGTGACAGTGTCTAGGTGAGTGATTGCCACTCAACATTTGATATATGGGTATGCGCCTCTGTGCGCATGTGTACTGGATATATTATATCTCAGAGAGATTTTCCCAGTCTCTTGCAGTTACATCAGTGCATTGTTATCCATTAAGGCTTTTTATACTCACACATTATAATGGATGGATTAAAAAAAGAGGTTAAGTTTTTCTGTCTTCCAAAATATTATCACCCAAATGTTAACGGATTTTCATACATCTTGATTTTCCCTGTACTAAAGACACTCACTGTCAAAGCCTTTTGATATTGCTACTTAAGTGCTTAGTCAGTCAGTCAGTAATTTGCTTTCAGATAACATTTTACTTCAACAGCAGTGTTGTCAACCACTATTTTTGCCTTACACAGTGAATTGTTCTGCTGCTGTTCTTTTTAATATTCAGAATACTGTCCTGTTGTTCACATTGTTCCAGCAGTTACATAAGATAAATTCTCTATGAGGTCTTAGGGTTCATTCAAGACTGGTCCCGCACTGAGTGTGGGCATAGAGAGTATCTCGACACCTGGCAGCAGAAAAGAGGCCCATGGGGCCAAAGCTCTCGCTTCTTCCCCCTGATAAAGGGCCACTGGGATCTGCATAGCTGCACCCAGCCCTCGCCGCTCATACAGAAGGGGGGACATGACGCAGCAAAGGCAGAAAAAAGGACCTGGTGGTATGTGTATCACAGAGTCACCCTGTCCTTCCATTCTCTTATTGCCCCAGATAGAGCCCCCAAACCTGGCCCTCTCCCTTGTATAGCATCAACCTTCATCTTCCTTCATCCCTATTGCCTCCCTGTGTGCATTTCTTTTTTCAGTAGGTCCAGGCAAGCTGCTCCACCTCCAGCTATCCCCCAGACTCTGTACTATACAACGCTGGCTGTTGTTGTAAAGAATCTGTAGGGTGGAACTGTCGACTTCACCCCTAAGGCTCAGTTTCTCCTTACCATCTGAAACAGAGTGGTACAGTAGCAGAGCGCTGAGATCTGAGAAACATTATATTCTGTGCTTTACTGGCCCAGTTATAAGGTGTTGGGATTCTGCTCACACCTATGAGCCTTTTGTTCAGGCCCACTATGGCAGTTCACCTGCAACAGACAAGGTTAGACAGCGTGCCTATTTAATGTTTTGATTGACATTATTTTAATGTCACACCATGGGGAGGTATGTCTGAGAACAGAAATGAAAGTTAATCTGATTTCTTCCCCCCTGTTCTCATGTCTTTGCCCTCTCTCTCTCTCTCTGCTCATTAGGACATTGACATTGTCATTTTCTCAAAGTTTTGAGGGATGTGTTTGAATGCAGATAGTTCAGTCCCTTTCTAGTTCTCCGTGCACTGCTTTATATAGGCATTTGGAAAAGAATTAGAGGGCACTGGTTAAATTAATTTGTAGTATCTTACTTGTATCATATACTATGTTGGTTTTGTGTGTATGATTTTTTTTTTCCCTCAGAGACACAGCATTAGCTCTGTCTCCAAGTAGGTTAACATCGCCTGGTTGAAAATGTACCACCCATTGTCTGTACTGTAGATTCGACAACACACGGCAAAAAGTGACTGTGGGAGCATGAAAATAAACTGTTCCTGAGTGTGACACGTGTGCAGCTTGAGCTTGGCACAGCATCCGTGTTCAGCCTGGCTGAACACAACTTGTTTGAATGTCATATTTATCCCTGTGTTTTGTCAGAAAATTAACTTCCTGTGAGTTTGCGGCAGAGATGAACATATGGCCACAGCTCTCTGGAGATGACAGCCTAGCAGAGCGGGAGCTCGCCGGTGCCGCTGCCCTGCTCTGGCGGCAGATGCTCCGGGCTTCTCCGCGATTAAGTGGAGATCATCACTGTTTTCTTTGAGCACCGCTGTGCCTTGTACTCTGAAGTGTTCCGTTAATCACTGCCTGCCTCCCTGCCTTTTCCACACAAGCTGCCAAAGCACTCATTAAGTTTGAATCTCCCTCTCACCACTTGCTTGCTCGCCAGCTCAAAACATTGCGTGACTGAGTCTTAGCCCTTTCTACAGGAACACAGTGGTTTGTGGCACCTGTTTGCTGGAGGGATCATAAAAGCCATAATGTTTTGTGTACACTTGTTTGAAAGGTATATGCAATTCCATCTCTGACCCTCTTCTGCTGTTCATTCATTTTTAAGGCATTGTGTACATATTGTAAAATATGTGTCCCTTTTTGTGCTACTTAATGTTTTCTCTACTGATGTGCTCTGTGTTTGAGTTTCTCCCCAAGCACTAAGATGCTGCCTTGTTTCCAGTACAGGCCCCTGAGGAGATTGAAGCCTTTTCCACGCTTGCCTATATATATATATTTATATATATATATATTTTTTTTTTCCACTGGTGCCTCCGCCTTTTCTTTCAGCATGTTATTAGGAAGCATTGCTACTCACATTTACAGTTGTCAAACACTGCTCTTTTATTCTGTGTGTGTGTGTGTGAAAGGTATATTGAGTTTATAGAACCAGAATTCAGGAATAATGCAATTCGCAACTCCAGTCAAAGAGAAACAAAAAAAGATAAAAATTGAATCTTTGTTAGCCCCCCTCTTCCAACTCCACCAACCCCAGTATCACACATCCAGTTGTGTATATCTCCTACACAAGCAGCCATCCATTGTTATTGTTAAACATTGTGACATGCTTTAACCTTGATTGATCTTGATCTGCGACACAAATAATAATGTGATTACAGGCTTTTCTCTGCTTCTCTCTTCACAGCAGTGGACAAAAACATTAGATATTTCCTTTCATGTTAATCGCCTTGGTTGGAAGTATACCTTAGTGCACCGATAGGCCTCAGTAATGCCTCCTTTCTTCTAAAAAAATAAATAAATAAAGTCCAAAATAACCTATTTGCAGCACACCCACACACACACACACACACACATTGCTTAGCTCTGTAACACCGTTATTCTGCACCCATCAAAGCCTGGCTTGCTTGTCTTGCTGCAGCGATCATTCCCTCACAATAGCAGGATGGCATTACTGTGCTTTTGAAAGCATCTACATGGCAAAGCAATAACATGCACCTTGTGAACACAGGATCCTGTTCATTGCAGGTTGGATTTCCTGAATAAAGCAGTGGGGAATAGATCCCTATGCCATCGCACTTGGATATACAGTAGATACCCCATTTTCCTAATCCTACAAGTTTACAATTGAAGTTTACTTTACAGTCTGCTTCTTAATCTTGTCTGTCAGGCTGTCAGGAAGGCACCCGTGAATGTATGTGGTTTTCCGTGCTGCATCTGTTGCTCGTCAGACACGCTGATTAGTGCCAGTTTGCCTCTTTTTCAATATGTAGATACCAGGATAGGAAGCTGGCTCTATTCAGTGAGTCCAAGCACCAAAATAGCAATTGCTGCTCTCAATCAACTATGAAGAAATTGGTTTGCATTGTTGGAAGAGGTTGATTAGTGACTTTTTTGAAGAGGCTCTTGAAATTACTTTCAAATCAGGCTGAGCTGACGGACAGCTGGTTCAGTGTTCAATCTACAGTGCAAGGTCATCAATAACTAGCAATGTTATTTATATATAAAAGCATGGTTCATACTGTATGAGTGCCATGTATTTGTACCCCCTGGACCCTCATATTGTTATTCAACACAATAAATGTGTCTACTCGGAGTCAAATCTATTCACAACTGTACAAATTGCCGCTGTGCTGCTGGCAACGTACAGCTAATTTTTAGATGTGGAAATTCCTTGTCAGGAGCAGCCAAGGGAGGAGATGTCAGTTTGATGCCACAAGTATGTGCGGGAGCATAAGCGTTCGCTGCGCATCGGTGATGGTGCGTTTTATTTCAACACTGACCACCGGTGATGCCAACCCTGTAGTCCTCATATGAGCTGCCTCGTGAGATGCAACCATAGTAGACGGCCTCCCCCACATCTCACTCAGACTGATGCTGCTGAGAGATCGGGAGAAAGTAAATGAGAAGCTGTCAGACAACAAAGTCGCTCTATAGTCTATACTTCTATCACATGTCTATTGTTATGCTGCAGTTACAAGCTAGGCAGTATGTGGGAACTCAGTGTGGGTGTACAGCGACCTAGACTACTATACACATCTCCCCTAGGGGCACCTCAAAGAATGCTTGTTCTGTTCCTCCTCTCAGGCCCTGGGCTCTGCTGGAAAATGAGAAGCAATGCAAGTGAGAGACAGGGACTAAAAGTAGTCTCAGCTGTGTAGGAAGGCTAACCTGTGCCTCTGGAGATCCCAAGTCTTTTCAGAAGAACCCAGACAAACCCCATCTCTCTAACTCCTCACTCCCTCCTCTGACTTGTTTATGACCAGAGTGCTGATATTGTTTACTATGATGACTTCTGCACTCTGGAACTTACTATAGGCATTCTTCGTTGTTCGCCATTCTTTTTGCCACTAGATGTTGTGCAAAGTTTGCACTTGAAAAATGCATTACTTTCTCAGTGTGAATGAGACAATATGGTGTTTGTGACCTTGTTTCAGCTCGACTCATATGCCCTAATGTTTCCCAATATGCCCCCAGTGTATTTAATGCTGAAAGCACATTTATTACACATCAATAATTCTGTACATTTCCTTCTGGAAAACTAATTCTCATAATAGGATTTTGTCAATGTGATTTGAATAATGAACTCAAAACATCCCATTTTAGGCTACTTAACTAAATAGAATATTACTGATTGCAACACTTATCCATGGTTGGGGTTTTGGTAACCTTCTTTTCTATTTCTTGCCAACAGCCAATTTTCTCTCAATTAAAGCATGATATTAGCACTCAGTAGGGCATAAACAGAAATAACCGTACACTACTGAATATCATGCCTTGATTATGAGCTTAAGAGTGGGTGTACAGATGCATCCAGTTTCTATACTCCTATTAGAGTGCTGGTGTTTTTATGAAAGACTGAGGGAATCACTGTCTGCATGAGCAGGATTGCATGTCTATGTAACACTGGCTCACAGTTATCAGCTTTATTCAATTAAAACCTGTGGAATGAGAGGGCAGGGGGGAAGAGACAAAAGTCACAAGTATAGTAGGAAGAAAAAAAAATGTATCAATATATTGAGTCAGTCAGTGGTGATGCCAGTTGGCCAAAGTTAGCAGGAAGCTGTCCTAGTAAATGGCAGCAGCTGCTCGCAGTTCGAGAGAGCATGTCCCAGTCAGAGGAGAAAAGCGATGGCATCTACATTAATACTACCTTAATGGCCCATCTGGCGCTCCGTAGGTTCCCTGGCTGCACCACCGACTCACAGGCGTTTGACAGGCAGTCTCCAGCGCACCAGACGCGCATGGCATGCCAAATGGCGGGCAGACGCCTCTGTGGCGCACAGATCTGTCAAACTCTCTCTGACGCTGTAGTAACACAGGCAAGGGAAGTTAAGGCAAGTTTTCACACGTGATTGGTTCTTGACATGGATAGGGGGAGGACGGGGGCAGGAGGAGAATGACTCGCTTGTCTATCTCTCTCTTCTGCAACCTCCTCAACTGCAAACACACATACTGTATGCACAGAATTGCACACACACTCTCTGCGCACTAGATGCTAAGTAACCGTGACGAGATTAAACCTCAATGAGAAAGCCAGGTTAAGATTAGCCAGTGGTGGATTCAGTCTGCTCTGATGGCAAATGGAGATAACAAATGTTATTTTAGCTGCTAGTCACAGCCTCTCTTTGTAAACAAATATTGGAACAAATTGCTTCATTGGAAGAAATTGTAGAAGGTCTTATCAAAACACCACAGGGGTTTCTGGGTATAATTGGCA